ATGTTCCCGTTTTTTCCATCTCCAAATTATTTATCCTGCCTACCTTATCTAGATAGACATGCACATACATTACTAAGTGCAAAAACCAGGCACAACTAAATAAAATAACAAAGGAAGTCAAAGCCAAGAAAAAAATAACAACCAAAAAAAACCAAAAACAAACTAACGATAACAAAAAGAAAGCCACTGACAAAAATGGAAAAGCCTACAAATAGTTTAAGGTCTGTTTGTTGGTCTTTGTGCGTGTTTTCCAGTCGAGTCTGATGGGATGCCACACTCTGCCTCCAAAGTCTATTTTTGGTATTCCCCAGGGATTTCATCACTCTGCTCCCTTTGCTGCTCTGTTGCATGTCCTTAGTGTTTCACCCCAGTGTGATGGGTCAGATAGTGCACTATTCCCGCACTGTGTCTCCAGTGTTGTCCCCCGCAGTGCTAAGGCTTAGTGAGGGACATTGTGTCTCATGGTAAGGCCAGCCCTGTGGTCCTCTGTGTGCGTTGTCTGCTCTGAGCAGGAACATCGTCCTTGGGGCTTGGGGGGCCAGGATGTCCTCTCCTTCCTCTCCATACCTGTTCGTTTCTTCCATGTGCTCTAATCTGATGCGCCACTCTCCCCAAGTTTTAACCCCAGAACTTTCCACTGAAATGCATTCTTCTGAGGCGGGTGGGGGGATGTTCACATAGTTGGGATTTGGGCCGGCCTGCAGACCTCTCTGTTGGTTCCCTGGTACATGCTGGTATGTTGTATTCACGTCTTGGCGCACCCTCTCCTGTGGAGATATAAACGATACCCTCCCCTTGGGTGGGTTAGTGCCCTTCTCCCCCACCCATGTTTTTTTTTTCTCTCTTTCTTTCCCCCTCTTATTAGTTGGCTGCTGTATGTGTCCCTGGATTGGGTTTGGCCGCTGCCATAGTTGCTGGACCTCACCCCAGGGATGTATGTATATAATAGCATTTCCCCTATGCTCAGGGTTTTGTTTTGTTTTTTTCAAACTTGCCTTAGTGGACTCATGTTGTACTTGTCCTTTTGTGCTTGGCTTACTTCACTTAGCGTGATTTCCTCCAGTTCTTCCCATGCGGCGATGCGCTTCATGTGTTCATCGCTGCTTTTTAGGAATGCGTAGTACTCCATTGTATGTATGTACCACAGTTTTTTAATCCATTCATCTGTTGATAGAAATTTGGGTTGTTTCTAACTCCTGGAAATTTTGAACTGCGCCATAATCAACATTGGAACACAGATGTCTGGCCCTGGTTTGTTTCTTGCCTCTTCTGGGTATGTGCCCAGTCATGGGATTGCTGGTGGTATGGTAGCTCAATTTCCACCTGTTTTAAATCTCGCCAAACTGATTTCCATAATGGCTGTAGGTACCTACAGGTCCACCAGTAGTGGACAAAAGTTCATATCTCACCACAGCCCCTCCAACACTTGTTACTTTCTGATTTTTTGAATTTGGGTATCTTTGAGGGTGGTAGGTGGTATCTCATAGTTGTTTTAATTTGCATTTCTCTTATTGCTAATGATCGAGAACATTTTCTCATATATTTATTGGCGATTTGCACTTCTTCACCTGTGAAAATTCTGTTCAGGTCCTTTGACTACCTCCTTGTTCTCTGCAGATTCTTGATCATCCCACTCACATTTGTTGAATTCTACCTACTGTGTTCCAGTGGAACCACTCTTGAATATAACTGGGACAGTTGGAGGAAAAAGGGCACAGTTGAGTGATAGGCAGTTCCTACCTTAAAGGGATTCTCACAGCCTCATTGTGTATAAAGGGGTTCAGAAAGTTTGTGAAAAAATGGAATTAAAAGATAATAGAATTTTCCATGAACTTTCTGATGTACTATCTTAGTATTGCACCAGCTCCTCCTCCTGATGCCCCCCTTTCAGTTCAGAGTGAAAATGTTCTCATGAATTTTATGTGTCAGAATCTTTATGCTTTACCATACGCTTCTGATAAATTAGTTCCTACCTACTTCATAGGACCTCTTTGCTGTCCCATCTCTGCTACTGCCATCACCGTAGTGCATGTTCTTTCCATTTCTTTTGTGCATCCTCCTCTCTCTCTCGGTTTTATATCATTTATTGCTTGCTAAGAATTTTCACTGGTTTTGTTGAATTCATCTTTTTTACTAGTCAGTACTCCTTTGTGGCAAAGATAGGAATTTACCTTGAGCTTGCGTAAGGAAAATAGGAGTGTAACAGAAGAATAATGGTTAGCTCCCAATACTAGATAGGCTACTGCAACCAAATTTTTGGAAGAATACCAAAACAGCTTTGACCTCTCAGAGTACTGAATATCATCAGAATTCTCATATCATCATCTTGTGTATTTTTCTCTACACGTTGACCTGATTCTACTGTTTGCAGATTGGCTTCTTCCACATAGCGAGGGATATGGCTCTTGGAGGCACTGGGCTTACAACTTCTCATTTCACCATCAGAAAAGAACACATTTTCTCCCACCTCCATTCACTTTCTGCCGTCGAGTTGATGCCTGTTCATAGTGACCCTGGGGGCCGGGGAGGACTGCCCCTTTAAGTTTCTGAGATTGTGACTTTGTGGAGCAGAAAGCCCTGTCTTTCTCCCATGGAGTGGCTGGAGAAAGCCCCATCCCATGATTTCAAACTGCCAACCTTGGGGATTGCAGCCCCAAAGTTAAGAAAATCCCAGGGAAGAACTTTTTGCCCACTCTTGAGCCAATCACTATGGCCAGGTGGGATGAGGGGATTCTGATTTTCCCTAGCTTGAGTCTATAGTCTCTACCACAAGCGAGAAATTTCCTTTGATCTGTACCTTCACTTGGTGCCAAGAGTATTAGGAAATGTGGATGAGGGGAGTAATGAATGTGAAGGAGATGATCAAGAGTTTCCTAAGAGAAAGGGAGAGATTTATATCCTGTAAGAAGGAAAGAGGAGTTGTAAGCACTCAAAGCATTTGGTTTCTACTCCAAGTACAATTTGAACCTTTAACCCAGTGCTTCAAACCAATTCAGGCTAGTTCAGTCATGGCCATTGAGCAAAACATGAACAGGCCCAAAATTTTAAAATATGGGAGAACTAGAATTGCAATTTAAAAGGAAAAATTACAGGTTGATGTCCTGTTAGAAACTTAATTTCACTCTGAAAATGTGAGCAGCATGCATGTTGCATAGCAACCAAATCCCTTTATTGGCACAGTGAGAAATAATGGTGTAAAGCTGACTCCACCATCTTGAATGTACAAGGGGATATCCTCCCAAAATGGATTTTTCCCCCCAAAGGTATGTATTTAAAGCTTTTTACAAAAACACCTTATCACCTTCAAAGGACTCTCCATTACACTTCATACATTAGTCAGCTCTGCCGTTCCATTCTTGGAAACATTTTTCAAACTCATCTGTTTAGATGACTGACAGCACCTCCGTCGTTTTCTTCTTCACCTTTTTTATGTCATCAAATCACTGTCCTTTCATGTCCCTTTTCATTCATGGAAACAAAAGAAGTTGCATGGAGTGAGGTCAGATGCATGGGGCAAGAGAGGCATGCTATTTTTGTGCCAAAAACTGGCATTCTGAGATGGCTGCATGAACAGGTACATGATTGGGGTGGCAGAACAAGTCCTCATCTGCCACAAATCTTGCCTTTTTTGTTGCACACTGTTACACAATCTTTTCAGAAACTCTAAATAGAAAGCTTGATTAACAGTTTGACTTGGTTGAACAAATTCCAAATGCACTATGAGTTGACATTTTTGTCTATTTGGGAAATTGACAGATGTCCAGAATGAGGTTTGTTATCTATCAATATTTCACCTTTTTTGAAACAAGAAAACCACTCCTATACTTGAGTTTTTCCCATAGCACTGTCCTTGTAAGCTGTGTTCAACATCACACTGTTTCTGTGCCATTTTTACCTAGCAGGAAACAAAATTTCACAGCTGCACACTGTTCTCTTAAATCAGCCATCACAAAAAACTAGGTTTGAGCGAAACTGCTTTTATGAAAAAGTTCACTGTGACCAGAGAGAACCTTCCTAGATGATGCCACTGGATGCACTAATTCAGAGCGAGTTGCTAGATGCTCACCTATGAGGGAAAATGCATACTACAAAAGTTCCACTCCACCCAGCACAATTCCAGTTTTGTTTTTTTTGGGGGTGGTGGTGGTTGTAACCCTTCGTATGTTGATCTCCTCAGCCCTGGCAATAATCGGCCTCTTCCAAGTTTCTCATTCTAGGACTTCAGTCCTTAAATTTTCCTGTTCTGGAAAACTGTTACACATCACTTAAACGTTTAAAATTTAGGTCTGTATAGTGTTGGAGGACACCAAGGTCAATTGACATAACACGGTTCACAAAGATAGTGTTCTGTATACTACTTTGGTGAGTAGTGATTAGGGTCTTAAAATCTCAGTAGTGCAAAAAAAAAAAAAAATCTCATTAGTACAACTTTTGTCCTGCCTCTTAGGGAGAAAAGGAGAATGATGAAAATCGAAAGATACTTGGAAATATTTTGTTCAGTGGACTAAGGGACCATCCAAAAATCCACTTCTACGATCCTGAGGCCAGAACCTAGATGGTGTCCGGCTGCTCCTCCCAACTGCCCAACTACTTTGAAAAATATTACGTTAAAAGGCCCTAGATAGAGTGAGATAAAAATGTGGACTTAAACCCAAAATCATAAAATAATCTAGGCTTATCGATCAGATAGAAACGGTTAGAGCCCCTAAGACTATGGCCCTTTTGTGACTCTCCAGGTCTAGAAGCAAACTCACTTCTATGTGGGAATAAGGAACCATTTAAGAACAAAAGGGAAACATTTATCCAAGGCCCAAATATACAGGGTTAGGAAAGAAGGAGGAAGTAGTGGGGTAAATTTTTGGTACATTGAGAAGATTGTAATGAATGAGTTAAAACTGAATGTGAGCTGTTGAGATGTCAAACTGGTGATGTACTCTGTAAACCTTCACCTAATTCACAATAAGAAGTTTTTAAAAGTAAAATAAAAAATTAGGTATGTTCCAATATATCAGCTGTGACTGAACCAGCTTGAACCAGTTAGAAGCCCTGCTTTGCTCTCATCATTTCCCATTTTATACTGTTCTGAAACTAACCTTTTTTTGTTTGTTTGTTTAAATCCAGCTATACCCTGAGGTTCTCCATCCTGAGCATCACCTGACACTTGCCCTCCCAACACCTGATTCAGTGGATCTGGGGTGGGACCTGAGCATTTGCATTTCTAACACATTCCCTGGGGAAGCTGATCTTGCAGATTTTGGGGCCACATTGTGAGAACCACTGCACTAGCAGAAAACCTTCCTGATACCTTCTTGCCTTTAAGATACTGACTAAATTCTTGAGCATCCCATAAAAAGTGCTTTCAATTTGACAGGTTTTTAGTCTTCACAGTATTTCCCTATTAGACTTCCTATTTTCCTATCTGATTTGTATGGGTCCCTGTTATCTAGTTGCTTTTTACTTTATGTTTGCTTTTTCGAAAATCATTCTAATTAGAAAATTGGAATGACCTTTACATTCACCACTGAGTTCAAGATTTTAACTAAAGCGTAACTCCAGTTCTACTTCTAACATCTCTCTGACAACTACAGACAAAAATGATCTCTTCTCTGAAATATCTCTTTTCATTAATTCATCCAGAAAATATTTACTGAATTCTTACTCACCAGGGGTACTGTGTTCAAACCACAATCCTTGCTCTCATGGAGCATAAATTCCAGTGGATAGACATTCGAACACATATGAAATATATCTGTTGGTATTAAAATAAAACTAAGGGATATATAACAAAAAGGAAGCAAATGTTGCTTCACATGCAGTAGTCAGGTAGGATACTCTGATTTATAAACATTTAAACAAAGATCCAAAGGGTGAGAGGGAAGAGTATCCTATTTATGCATCATTCATGCAGATGTATTTTTTTTCTTAGCCAACAGTATGACATTTTTTTCCATTTGGATATTTCTAATTTCCCTAATAGTTTTTAAGATCCTGAAGGTCAGTGGCCACTCCTTAACACTTAACCTCACAATGCCAGTGCCAATGAAGGGCCAGAGACGAGGTAACACCACCACTGTGTTACTCCAAATTTGGGTAGTTAGTGAATATTTGTCCCTGATCAATGATTGCACATGGGAAGCTGGTGGTTTCTTTTCTCTGTAATAAGTGTAAAACCAACATAATAAAAATACTTGAAGTATAAAATATTTTGGAAGTTATTTTAAATGAAAATTTTTTTAAAATTTCAATAGGATTTATCATTTGTTATTCCTCATAGTGAGTCTAATTTTCACAATTACACCGTGGTTTCATTGAATGAAGAATTTAATCGTGGAAGAGGACTAAATGTGGGAGCTCGAGCTTGGGACAAGGGAGAAGTCTTGATGTTTTTCTGTGATGTTGATATATATTTCTCAGCGGAATTCCTTAATAGCTGCCGGTTAAATGCTGAGCCAGGTGAGTAAACACATTGGTAGGTGAACTGAGATGAATATCTTTTTGAGTCAGATTTATTAAAAGTTTCAATTAAAGCCTAGGGGTTTTGTTGTTGTTTTGTTTTAATCTTGTGTAATGTTAAGTATAAAACTGGAAATTTGCTAGAGTTAAGCTTACATTTCTTCTTCTCTTGGGGTCACATTCTATTGACATTAAAGCCAAACAGACAAACAAAAAGAGTAGAGAGTGTGAAAAGTGAGAACGAGGGAGCTACATTGGTCAGAAAAAGAGCTGACTAGATGGTTTTGAAATGTATGCAACTCAGAAATGTCTCACTTTGAGGCTAAGGTGACAGACTCGCTTATGCAAGAACATAGGTATGTTACTTGATTCAAGAAGAAGGCATTTTGGAAGTGATTTACTGTGCTTTGTATTACTTTGCTTGTGTTATAGTTATATTTTTAAAGTATAAGCAAATGGCATTTTAATCACTTTTTTAAAATGTGAAAAGGAAGTTTTCTGTATTAAAGAGTTTCACAGCATTTTTTTAATGTAGACAGTTCATATCATGCAAATGATTAACTACTTCACAGTCCATTTGGTTGGAGATAGTTGTCAGGAACTCTGAGAACCTACTGAATAAATGAGGACTTAAGCTTAATTTTGCTACTCCCAAAACAACCTCACTGCCATCAAGTTGCTTTCAACTCATATCAACCCTGTGGTGTGAGAGACACAGTTGACATCCTGGTACCATTTCAGTACCTCTTAGTAACTGGGAGATCCATATAAAAACCCCACTTGGACCATACCCTCATGGTCTCCAATGGGTAATCATAAGTGTTTATCACAAACACTCAGGAAATCCAATCAGTACTTACTTTAATGAGAGCAAGAGTTGATTTTGCAAAACCAAGCACCCAAGCCTCAAAAGACAAAATGGGCCAGTGTATGCAAAAGACATCTTGCAAGCATTACATAGTTCCAGGTTCTCGAATAGTGTTCCTTCCCCAGTGCCTCTTTGGCTAAGTACTGTGGGAAATTTCTACCTCAAGCAGTCCAGTCTACCCCGCCCCCTCCAGCCCACCACTCCCACCTTGATTCATCTGATTTGCATAATACTGTTAGGTTTGGGGGTGGTATGCCTCAGTTCTTGCTTTACAATGCTGAAAGAATTCACGGGGCAGAAGCACTTTTGTAAATCCAAGTGGCTTTTATGAGAGAAAGGAAAGTTTCAGGTATTACAGTCAAAACGTCCATGCCATCTCTGGAAAGCGTGCAGGCAGCACAGGGACGGCGTGAAAACTCTCTGAAGATGGCCACTTCAGGAGAGTGCGGAAAAACTACCTGAAAAGAATACCCAAATGGGAGCCTGAAAACCAACCACATGTTTGGAAGCAAGAACGGGAAAATCTCAAGCGTCCAGGACAGTGACTGGGGCCTCAGGCCCTAACTTTATTCTCCTCCTGCACTACTGGAGGGGGCATGGTTGGGGTATTGGCTGACCTTATTGGCTGAGTTCAGGTGCACCTGTGTGATGTCATATTGGTGCCTAGATGTGTTCCCATGGGAGTCTAATTAGTGTGCCTGAGTGCTTTCCAACACCCTCACTGTGGCATGGACAACCAGTCCTCATTCAGTGTAGGGACAGACAATTCCTTTAGCCTAATATAGTGACCTGTTGTGCTAGTCTGGGTACTTTAAAGAAACAAATCCACAGAAACTCATGTATAAGAGAATTTTATATAAAGGTTAAATGTGCAGCAAGAAAACATCCCAACCCAGTGCTGCCCAAGCCCTCAAGTCCAACATTAGCCCTCAAGTCCGACATCAATCCACAAAGACCTCCTCCATCTCACAAAACAGATGCAATGATGCCGACTGCAGAAGGAAAGCTGGATCAGTGACTGTGTAAGCGTCTCAGCGCTGGCAGGGCCTCCACACGGCTGCTCCAGCACCAAGGTCTGCATCGGGGTAGGTCCATGTGGCTTCTCAGGGATGTCCTGCAGGAAGGGAGTCTTGCCAGCTAAAGCAGAACTGGCTAAGGCAGCTGCACCCTGGTCCGACCATCATAAAGCAAGAGACCCGAGAACTAGAAAGGCAAGGCTCACAGCCATTTATCCCTCTGCCCTTCAATTAACCCCACATGTTTATCGGCCAGGTTGGCACAATAAACTTAACTACCTCACTGTCAATACCATTCCCAAGGTGCGGGCGTTTTAATGATTATTACATTTGCCATCAACTTGTGCTCTGGCTACTAGGTAACCTCCTGGTCATTTGTTGCCTAATTGCTGAATTTGAACCAGTTTGGGATTTATTTCTCACAAAGGACAGGGTAAAGCTGCTCTGTTTATAACTCCAGAGAGCATGAAATTAAAAATGTTGTGGTTGTAGGAAACAGATATTTGCTCAATGTAAAAGAAATGTTATAATATCCAGAAAAAAGCAGGATTGCCTCTGAGAAATTAAGTTCCCTGTGTTTAAGAAAGGTGAGATGAGCATTAGCTGGGAATTTTGTAATAGAAATGCTGTTGAGTTAACTACTCAGTGCTTTCCAGTTTACTGAGTATGACCAGATGGGATTGAGGCCAGTGGTATAAAGGGATTTTTTGCTAATAGGTTAATGAGCGAATTCGACTTTTAAGGCCTCCATCCTCTGCTGTCAATTTGAATGCTAATAGGGCTTCTGTGGGCAGCTTACTGCCTTGGGCATTATAACTCACCTTTCCAGATCTTGGTTTGAACCTGTCTCACATTCTATAGTTTAATTAGTTGCTATATATCCATTCAGTACACATAATTGGGTTTATTATTTTAACCCTTCATTTTAAAAGTGATTTAAAAATGTTTCTGAATGTCTTGGTATTTGTCAGAAGTTAACTTTTTTCTGTTACTGCTGAATAGATGAAATAAGGCCTAACAGATGGCCCACCTATTGAATATCATGGGAGAAAGATGACGTTTCCTACTCCTGTGAAGATTTACAGTGTTGGAAACCTACGAGGCAGTTCAACCCTGTCCAGTGTGGTCGTTATGAGTCAGAATTGACTTTATGGCAATGAGTTTGTTTTTTTGCAATGGATTGGAAGAAATACCTTGGTGAATCTCCCCCAAATAGAAGGAACTAAATATATGAAAAATACTTCAGGCTGATTTGTTTGCTTGTTTGTTTTTGCAATGTTAGGTAGTTTTGTGTACTGATTTACTGATAGGTTACAAAATCATCAACTTCTTCATTAAATTAACATTTTCCTTCATATATTATCATTAAAATTGTCATAGGTAATAGGAAAGATGACTAAAGATTATATTAAGCTTCAGTTTTTCATTTTACAATTTTTTTATGTAATATAAACAGTGGGAGGTACATAATTTTATGTCAATTTGAAGACATATAAAAGTGTAGGGGTGGTATTCAAACTGTCAGTCAGGTCACAGTCGAATGGTGCTTTCTGGTGGGCATGGCCTTCTCATAAGGAGGAGCCAGGAAACCTCACCTCCTCTCTGTTTCTACTTCCTACTTGCTGGCCACCCTGAGAGCTGCCAGGGTCCTGCCATTTTATCCACTGATGTCAGATCCACACAACTTTGCACACACTGGTCTGTGATCTTGCATCCTGCATCATTGTATGTGGCAGTGAGTCTGAAGAGGCACTTAGGGACTAGTATCGGACTTGTGGATTTGAGTTCGACTGGACTGGGATGTTTTCTTTTTAATCATTTTATTGGGGGCTCATACAACACTTATCACAATCCATATGCACATCAATTGTGTAAAGCACATTTGTACATTCATTGTTCTAATCATTCTCAAAACATTTGCTCTCCACTTAAGCCCCTGGCATCAGCTCCTCATTTCCCCCCCTC